AACAAAAGTGCTGGGAGAAGCCGCAGACTGTAGCTTCCTGATGCAGGAGAGTATACATCATCTCTTCGCTCAACCGCGTACTCTCTGGCTACTAGGCGTGATCTTCTCATCCACTGCTTCTTCTGCTGTCCATCTGGCAGGGTTCTAGTTTTGATTCGCCAGTCTCGAACAAACTTGGTGGTGAGCTTATCCAGGTAGAAGTCCTCATCCTTCAGGTTCTCAATGACTCCCATACTCTTCAACCTTCTTTCCTCGATCTGATCAGCCAAAGCTTCGACTTCATCGCTTGGCTGAGGTGGCGTTCTTGTCAATGCCGCCTCACTCCACACCTCGGGTTGATCTTGTTCTTGGGCACCTGCTGGAACGTTTTCATCCACCTCCAATTCGATGTTCTCAGACTCAATGACTTCGTCGAGGTGGTACATCTCCTCATCTCCAATGCATACCTTCTGGACTCTCCTCTCGATCATTTGCTCGTGAGATGCCATTCCAGCCGTGCTTGAGGATGATGTTTCAGGCCCTTCTCTCCTCGGTCTCTTGGCGCTCTCTTCCTCCAATCTCTGCTTCTTGAACTCCGGTTCTGCTTTCACCGCCGAAAGGGGTGGCGCTGACTTCTTCAATACTCTCCCTGCCGAGAGACTTCCCTGCTCCTCCCATGGCATAGGCAACACTACCATGGTCGGCACTGAGCTCCTCTCCCCAGACTGATCTTCAGGAGCTGGGGTAGTTGGCATTCCTCTCCTTGGCTCATCCTCAATTTGTGGAGCTCGTCTTTGAGCTTCTTCTTGGCCTTCCTTCGACTCTGCATAGGCCTGGACTGCTTCAGCATCCTCATCTCGGTGTCGGAAGAGGATCATGTCCATCGGGGGAAAGTTGCCTGACTTCAGAGCTACTGGTCCCAAAGCTCGTTTCGTAGGGACAACTCTTCCACCGAAACTGACCTGGTACTCCCACGTGTACGTTTGGAAGTCCTGGTAGTAGGCGAGGAACTTGCTCCAGGACCTATCTACCCTTCTCACGCTTCTCGTGAGCATCACTTGTGAGCCATCACCCACCAACCAAGCATCCTGGGCTTCTGTCTTGCCAAGGAACAGGGCAAGACGCCATTTGGGATTTCCTTTTCCCGTCTGCGGCTTGGTGTAGGCGTAAACTGGGTTTCCAAAGGGAACCACCAGCCCATCATAGGACCTTCCATGGACCAGTTCGTAGCTCGTGATGCCTTTGCTCGCCTGGTACCTGTTCAGCATCCAGCAGGCATGCCTTGCTGCCCAACTCCATAGGCCGTGGTTTGTGTTCAACTTGAGCCCCGTGCTCTTCATCAGGTACTCCATCACTGTAGCTGTAGTCCACGGACTCGCTGGATGGCATTCTCTGCTAGCGAATTGCCTGCTGAATCTCTAACTCGAGTGGTGTAGAGGCGTGTCCTCAACCCCATTGCATGCCTCGAGTTCAGGACAATGCGCAGAAGTGACCTTATCGTCGCCTCATTGTCACCATATAGTCCCACCTCAGTGTGGCCCAGGTTCTGGATGAACGTCATTACCTCCCTGGCCATAATGTTCAACTGTCCCTTCGACTTGAGTGGGACTGCCCCCAAATAGCCTGTGTGGCTGTCCACCATGACTTGCTTCACTTCTCGCAGTGGTACCTCTCCTCCTCCAGCTGGCTCTTCTTCTCCATAGATGTCCACTGCCTCGTCATCAGGGGGTCTTCCAGGCGGTCTTGGATTCCGGTCAATGGATCCTGCCTTGGTGTAGCAGAAGTCCAAACTGATGATCGGCAATCCAGTCAATCTCGATGCTCCTGACCTCAAATGCCTGTCGGGTCTTCCCCGGTGCATCAGGCAGCACTCACACCAAGGAGCATATGGTGTGTGCGTGAGGTTATGCTTGTCTTGCTCCTCCTGACTTGGCACCATGATCAAAGGCGGTGCTCTTGGCTGTCTCGACTCCTCCATCTGTGCTGCCGCTACAGCCTCTGCTGCTGCCTTCAACTCTCTCTCCCTCATGTGGGAGACCAATCTCTCAAAACACTTGCTCCGACTCCCGGACTGGCTCACTCCGAAGAAATTGCAAGCTGCTCTCAACTGCCTCAGAGGTGATGTCGCACACAATTCCACCTCATTCACTACAATCTTCTCAGGCAACACCTTGCCCACCACTAGCCTGCCTTCTTGCTCCACTTCAGCTAGTCGTGGTACGTGTCCATCTGCCTGCTCTTGCTGCGCATTGGGCTCATCAAATGGCAACTCACACTCCTTCACCTCCAGTTGAGCTGCTGGCAGCGCTTCCTCCACTTCGCAGCCCATCTCCTCAGTGCTCATGCCCTCCTTGGTCAAGATGGTGAGGACCAATTGCTTCTCGGCAGTGCCTTCAATCGCTTCCTCCTGGTCAGCCATCGCGTGCAAGGCCTCACACATCTCCATGAGCAACCATTTTCCTTCCTTCTTGACCAAAGTGGTCCTTTTCCAATCCACCTTCGATGTGATCTCCGGCACATACTGTGGACATTTCTGAGTTAGGTGTACACCGACCCAAGTATCCTGGTTTCTCTTCCAGCCACCTTGGAATCTCACCACCTTCTCCAGCTCCTCAGACAGCTTGGCCTTCAGCCACTCTCGGCTCCACCTGTATGGCCCTGACGCTCCCTTCTGCAACCAAACTCTTGTTTTGCATCTTCAAGGGAATTCGCACTTGTCCATCTCCAGGGGGTCCAAACGTCAGTGCTGGTTGAGTTCCATCAATGCCCCAACCACTTGACATCATCTTTCCAAAGGACAGGATTGGTTGTCCTATCCCCTCAGCAAAGTGGGCCTTCTCTTTGATCTCCACCTTGCGACCATCTTCCGTCTCAAAGCAGAAGTTCACACTCTTGTAGCCCTTGATCTTGATGGCCTCACCCTGTGCATCCTGCAGCTTCGGCGCCTCTCGACCAAGGTACGTGCCAACATCAATATAGCTTGCTGGCAACACTGTGGCATCCGCTCCAGAGTCTATCACTATATCACAGGAGTCCTCTGGCACGCTGAACCACTCATCTCCTTCTTCTCTTACCAATCGAACTTCCATCAGAAGCTCCTCCTCATCGGCCACATCTTCCTCGGCCATGTCGTAGAAGGCAATCATCTTGATGCTGCCCTCCATGCTTGCACCACCTCCCAAATCACGGAGGTCAAAAACTATTGGTGTGTTGAATTCTTGTGAAACTTCCTCAATCCTCTTGATTGCCGGCCTTGTCGTTGTTGCCTGACCGCTCGAGTGTGAACTGAGGACTGTTGCTGATTCCGCTTTGTCTCCTCCACCCGGGGATTCCGCCACCTGTCGAACTCGCCAACAGTCTCTGGCCAAATGCCCAGGCTTCCCACATACATAGCACTCCCTCACTGGCTGTGCCTTTCCTTTGCCTTTCTGCGACTCTCCCTTCCCGGAACTCTTCGAGCCTCCCTTGTGGGCTGACTCTTGTCCTTTCTGACCTTTTCCTTTGGACTTGGCCTCCTTTGCATCGCCTTTGCCTTTTCCTTTCTGGTTCTGCTCCTTCCCTTTGCCCTTACCTTTAGGGCCTTTTCCCTTCATCTGCAGCCGGTCGATCTCCATGGGCACCGCTCCATCCTTGCTCTCTTGACCCAGCATCATTGCACTGCTCCATCGAAGTGTAGCTCCATCATACTGGATCACTGCCTCACGGAGTTTGCCGTAGCTTTGACTTTCGGCCACGTTCAACTGGAGCCAGGTCTTCAACTGACCTGAGACACACTTCATCAGGATGGCAAACTTAATGTTGTCCTCCAGCTTGGATCCGGTGCGCTCATACTCGGTGAACCCCTCTTCAAGCTTGAGCAGCTGGTTGAGAAGTCCGCCTTTCCTCATGTCAAATGGGCTCCATTCCAACAGCATCGTCAGCAGGCCCAAGCTCCTGTTCTTGCTGGCTGGTTCGAGGCTCTGAATCAACTGTCTGTAGGCCTCGAAGCCGTTGGCATTCTTCACCTGCTTGATCACCGCCAGTGGCCTTTGCCTCACCAATGAGGCTAACAGTGAAAACAGGAACATTCCTCTCTGCTTCACCTCGTCGGTCTGGATGCTCTGGTCGACCTCTCTTGCAGGATGATCTCGAAGCTCTTGGAAGTCGCTAGGGAATTCTGAGTCTAGCGAGGCGAGATATTGCTCGAGTCCCCAACTGAAGTCTCTCCACTGTGCTAGCTCATCTTCCCGTGACTTTGGGTCGAAACCAGCGGGTTTTGGAAGGATCTTGAACCACGAGCGATCTTCACCACCACCCGTCCTTTTATCCAGGGCAGCCGCCGCAGCTTGTGCAGCCATGCTAGCTGCTTCGGTGGCCATCATCATGCGGCGTGCAACCTCAGCTCCATCCAAAGTTGCCGTTGTTGGGGTGGATGGTTGTCCTCCTCCAAGTCCAGCCATCTTCTCCTTTAGTTCCGGTCAGGTTGATCTCTTCCACCTCGTAGTCCTGATCGTGTACTCCAGGAACCCTCTAGCAGTGATTGCTCGATCACCTCCTCCAAGGACCCGCTCGCTCTGATCCCGAGACCTGCTCAGCTGCTATGGCTCCAGCAGCCGCTCACGGGCGTCCGCCCTTGGCACCCTTGGGGATTGGGTCCCGTCCCCCAGATCCGCGAGCCTCACCCCTGACCTTCTGGAAAGGGGATCCTTGGCTCCGCTACCATGCGGATCTTTGAGCTCTCAAGGCGGTCTGCGGTACACTTCTCGTGTTTATGTGTGTCATGTCTTCGACATGTATATCGTGTCTGACCTATGAGTGCTACTGACTTGACTTCGCACAAATTTATATAGTCTTTGTGGAAACCTTCTATCAGGCTGCTGTTCACGTATCTGAACCTTTTCCTTGTCGGCTTGGCATTGTGACTGTATGTATATATATGTGTGTCTTGGTTTGTACCTATTTCTATCGGTCGATTGTTTGTTCTTTCTTTGCAGTCGATCTGCTTTGTGCATGTCTTGACAGATGTCACCATTGCATACATCAGTTGAGATTTTGGCTTTGTTGCAGAAAACTCGTTGTGGCATCGGCATGCAGAAGCTGGGTAGTCCGCGCAATGTGCACTTGACAAGCCTAACTGCCCTTCTCTTGCTGGCATGCTTGAGTACCAGATTCTTGACGAATGCAAAGACCGATTTCGTTGTGTTCCAGCTCCAGCCCCATTCGGGCAGAGAATATCCTCCAGCCCGAAGCAGTGCGACTTCGACTTTATTACATTCTTCTGGAGAGCATTCATTCAAGCATGGTCATTATGCATCCAGAGTGGTGATAGCTGGAAGTGCAGTGCTGTCCTCCCTGTTGGTGGGGCTTGCCCGAGGACAGTCATTGCGGAAACGAGACTCTGTTCGTTGCCATGCAGGATTTGAGGGTTCTGGATTGACAGGCAAGTGGGGTTGCTACAAGACGGAGGGCGACATAGATGCCTATTGGAAGGCTACAGGTCTTCCTTGGTTGGCTCGAAAAGGGCTCCAGCTGATGGATTGGGGTGCTGGCAAGAATCAAAACATTCGTGAATTTCTTCAAGAAGGAGACAGCATAAGAATGGAATATTCTTTCGATGGACCTGGTCTGGGAGGGCTTGGCTTTACGGAGACATACACAGTTGGGAATGGTATCCAAGAGATTACTAGAATGGGTGGTGCCAAGATCTTGGTTGACCCCAGCTGGGAATCTGACAAAGTTTTGCGCGTGCAGAACATGAATCCAGCGAAGCAGACGAAAGGCTGGGCTAAGACCCTACTTTCAGGCTGGACATCGGGAGACAGAAAGTATATAATGTAGAAGACTGTTTGTTTTGGGTCATTTCCACTGTTCCACTTGTTTATGTGAAGTCTGCTTTACTTGGCTGTAAAACGTTCGCAGCATGTGCAGGTGGTCAAGACGAAGATTCTCAGCAGCAGATGGTAGCTGGCGAAAAAGAAGACGCTCCGCTGGGAGATGCACCTTGTTTGAAGTTTCCGGATTCTAACATTCGGGCTTGGAGTCTCAAACGTGCATGGACAAAGCGTTTTCATAGTGCTTCCAACCTGCTCAGGTGATCGATGTGCATAGATTCTACCTTGAGGCACGGTGAATACTATTCATTCTGTGGAATTCATGGTGAGTTTTTCTGTGCAGGACGATTCTTTGGTGCTTGAAGCAGATTCATCTCAGTCTGGAGGACCAGTGGTAAAGTGGTTTTTAAAGCGGCTGATTTGATTTGCACCAAGTGCAGTCAGGACAGCTGCAAATATGTATTTCTTACTCCAATGGTAGGTTCGTCCTCGCAGAATCACTGCAGGCTGAGTCCGAGTATCCAAGATGAACATGGTGGATGATTTTGTCACAAGTTTCTACAGCAGCCCTGCCTGGATTCCTTTATTTTGTACAGAAATTGCTGCAGAGAGCCAAGAAGCAACGGAGGACAAAGAGTAGTCAGCGCATACACTATATGTATTGCTATTAACTTTGTATTTCTTTCTCATCAAAGTCACTATTACACAGTGTTGGCTCCTCGAGGTTGGCAAACCTGGCCCTTCTTGGCACATTGCCGCATTGCCGATGAAATGAACTTGAAAACATGCATCATAGTCATCACAGGGAGCATTTTTCATCGCACCTTTTTCATTTACAAAAGGCACAGCTCGCAACGGCTTGCACGTACTCTTAATTTTTGCGAGCGGTTCCAGAGGAGGCTCTTCCATAGAAGTGCTGCATTAGGTTTGGCAGTGGGTTCCAACAATTCTCCGAGAAAGGTGCAAGGTTCCGGAGCAGCTTCGAAGCTTTTTAACATGTTTTAACACTAGATTCTCGCCGCAATCTTGTCAACATCCTGTGACGTGCAGCTGGCGGCCACGGCCAGGGTGTAGCAGGTCGTAGTTCCCGAACAGTGGTCTCCTTGATTCTGAATAGGTTACAATTCCGTCATTCCTTGTGCGTGCTGTGTGCTGACATGTCCAAGAGATGGTTCTTGTTCATTTTCTGTATTGTCAGCATCGTTGCAGCAGGGATGGCAGTGCTTGATTGGTTTTTGCTTGTCAAAGTGTATATAAACTGTACATCCTTCGGTCCGTTGGTGCAGTTGACCTGCATGTTTCTTTTGATGCTTGATGATAGTTCCAATTGCCACTGTTGCAGGGCAATACTTCATGAAGATCGTCAGAACTTGCGAATAGTCATTTACTCGTATGCCAGTGTCTATCGTGTCATTCATGTGGGTGCAGCATTGCCATTGTTTGCGCTTTGTGAGTGCTTGTTGTTGCTCGTTGTATTATTTTTGTAGTGGGAGGGAGGGAGCGAAATTCCTTGTTACACAGAGCTTCTTGATGACGTGACATTAGAAGTTTCTGCAGATTTTGAGGAATTTTGTAAGTTGAATTCAGAAGATCGTGCCAACAGTCCTGCGGTGATGCTGCCTTGAAAAGCCGGCTGTTGCTGGTTGTGTGTAGGTCCCATTGCCACTCCAGGAGTCTACACATTCAGTTTGTTTACTCCGTAAGCACAGTTGTTGTTAAAGGTTTGAGTTTTGCATGCTGCTGCATGCCTCTATTTTTTGCACTTTTGGTTGGTCTTGGACTCAGCTTATCCTTACTACTCACTACTCACACTAGCATATACATATATATATATGAGTATTCTTACAATAAGATTGCTTTGGCATACAAGAGCTCGGTGTATTGCTCTCCATGCTAGCTCAGTCACAGTTCCAGGAGTGGCCTCGATTCCATCTTGTTGTTGGTTCCACTCAAGCCACAGCTTTTCTTTAGACATATCGATGTAAAGCAAGGCACATTGATTTCTCATGCCAATCACGTTGAACCTGTATCAGCTGGCTCAATATTGTGTGAAGAAGCCATGGCGTTGGCATTCAACTTTCTTCCGAGCAATGGTTTTGGCAATGCGCTCCGGTCGCAAAGTGGCAGGTTGATCAAAGCACCCAGTTCGCCACAGGCGACCACCTCATCCAGTCACAGGTTGCTGGTTTCTGCAGGCATTGCTACGTTCAGCTTTGCTGGGCTGAGGGCCAAGAAAATTCGAGTTCCAAAAGGCGCAACTTCAGATGTTTCAGATCCAGACAGCAGTAGCAAGAATGAGTATGCATACAAGATGGTGAAGATTGCCTGCATTGTCACCCTTTTGCCATTCTTGTTTTGCCTTGGCAACTTTTCATTTGATCCTGCTATCAGTGACTTCAGCCTTGAGTATGGACCACACTTGGCTCATCCGGCCTTGCGAACCACTTCCGTGTTACAGGCCATAATGGTTTTTGCAGCAGTGATGTGGAGAGAAAAATACCGGAATGATCCGATTGACAGACTTTTCGCATGGCTTTTTGTACCTGAGGCCATTGCACACATCCTACTCCATTGGTTCAGCCATTATCATGCATTTGCAAACTTTGCTTTTGCATATGCTTTCAGTGCCGGCATTGCTCTTCCCGGCTTTCTGTCACTCTTGTGCTACGTGCCAAAGGAAAAGAAATTGCCGTGGTTGTACCTTGCATTATACATGACCACCCAAATACCAATCGTTGCCGGCCTCACCAACATGGTTGGACCAGCCAAAATGCGATTGAACTATGCCAACATCAACACAGCTTGGATCACGACGCCCTTCTTCTATGGAATCCTCAAGCGCTGGAAAGATGTTCCAAAAAGTCCAGTATTTTTGGCGACTCTCACAATTTCGTACCAGGTCGCGATGGGGATTATGGGTCCTATCACGGGTGCATCCGACCTGAAACTCTATGATCCTTCATGCATTTTTCAGCATGGAGTGGTGGACATTGGCTTTGGAATCGCCTATGCTGCATCCATCCTGTGTGGGGTCTTTAGGCCCAATGTTCCGAGGCCAGCATGGGACTGATGCATAGAGCATTGTAGTGAAAGGCTATGACAGCTTGGCCGGAAGGTTCTCTCCATTTGTGCGAGAGCATCGGCTGAAAAACCGTAACTCTAGGAGCTGTTTGCCATGCAGATTGCTTTCTCAAGAGACTTGCGTTTGACGGAGCTCATTTCTTGGTTCATCACTGCTGGACTGTTTTCTGCGTCTGCATTCTCACAGTCATAGTCTCTCACTTTGATCATGAGCTAAATGCCTGAGATGCCAGGGACAGTAGATCAAGACCCAACAAACCATTGCGCACAAATGAACATCCCATCCTGTACCTCTCTTGGGGTACATGGAACACACAGACACAGACACAGACACAGACACATTTGAGATGAGTGCTTTGCCGAGCTTGGCTTCAGACAATTCGCGGTGAGCATTAGCACTTTATGTGAATACTTAGCGCTTGACTTGCAGAACCGTAAAAATGAAAGGTCAGCACAATCGAATGTTTGAACAAACGCATTAGCTCTTTGGGATATGTTAAACAATTGGTGCAGGTACGTTCAGAGAGCGTCCTCTCCGAATATCACATCCGAACAACAGCGTCTTTGTTAGGCAGTGGCTGTTGAAAGGATCACTGCCACCCTGCTTCTGTACAAGTTGTAAAACTCAGATGAACTCAAGCGGAATGGAGTAGAGTAGGTTAGTGTCCCTTGGAACGGGGGTTGACACACACAAGAAGCCGAATACGGCGCAGCTAGGAAGACTCAGTACAAGCGCTTTTTTCTGGAAGGCCGCAACGCTGCAGCACAATGTTCCTTGGAGTGACCTTTTGTCACGTATAGCTGTACCAATCGTGGGCCAGTCAAGCTGCAAGAGCGCTTTTTCTGGAAAGCCGCAACGCCGCAGCACAAAGTGTGCTTTTCCTTTTTCTTTTCTTGCTTGCCAGGGGTGTGGAGGGGTGTTCGGGCGTGCGTTGACTAAACGAGCCTGGATGCCACCTAACAAGCCCGAAGAAAAGAACAAGACAAACGAAAAAGCAACGAAAGAAGAGAAAGGTGCAGGGGGTGCGGGGGGGCAGGGCGTGCGTTGACTAAACGAGCCTGGATGTCACCTAACAAGCCTGAAGGGAGGAACAAGACAAACGAAAAGGCAAGGAAAAACAAGAAAAACTGCAGGGGGTGTGGGGTGGGGTGGATGCTCTTGCGAGCAAACGGCATGGGCCCATAGGCACTGGCCGAGAAATACTTGGCGGAACCTAAGAATACTTAGCGGTCTAATTAAAACTTGGAAAGCTTCCGTGGTGAAACAGATTCAGTGAGCTCTGCAGCTGAATTCAGAGTAGATGTCAGTAAGCTCTGCAGCGATCCTTCACGCGTACTGTGTGAAACATTTCCGTCAATCACACTTCGAGCATCAAAATTCAGTAGAAGGATTCAGACAAATTCAACTCGGTAACGGCACCCCGTAGGGTTCACACAGCTTACCACAGTGGGAAGAAGCTGCGAATCACACTTGAGATGAGTGCTCTGCCGAGCTTGGCTTCAGACAATTCGTGCAGGTACGTTCAGAGAGCGTCCTCTCCGAATATCACATCCGAACAACAGCGTCTTTGTTAGGCAGTGGCTGTTGAAAGAATCACTGCCACCTTGCTTCTGTACAAATCAAGCGGAGCAGAGTAGAGTAGGTTAGTGTCCCTTGGAACGGGGGTTGACACACACACACACACACCCTCAGACCCCTATGTCATAGCAGTTGGAACAGAAGATTCGCAAGGTTCGGGCAAAATCAACAGAAACCATGCTTGTGCTTCACCATGATTGAACTTCACCACAAACAGCAAACCATTTTCCACTCTGCAAAAACGCAGCGTTTGCAGCCCCGGACTTGTGAGCATGGCCATGGTCCCGGTACCTGAGTGTGAGGCTGGTATTGAAATGGAGAGAGAGATAGACGTGCGGAGTTGGCGGAGTTTGACTCCGTCGTTTCCCAGGTGTGTAATGAGAAGGTGCCATTACCGCCACAGTTCGAAGCACCTTGTAGTGTGCGGTGCGGGAGGATGGGCAGAGGCACTGTCAGGCACAGTTTGCAGCATGACTTTTGAAAATTGTGTCAAAGCCTCCATGAGGATATGTCATCTAGACTGCACCCAAGCCTATTTGCGAGCCCAGAACGTCTCATCCTTCGAAGCCTCTTCTTTGCAAGACAGGTGACTTATTTTTCTATGCGAGGATTATTGTTTTTCCAATTCGTTTGCATTTTTCCGGCATGAGGTCGGATCGACTCGATTGATAGACTGCCCTTGCGGCAAGGCGAACAGAGGGCTCAATTACCACAGAGAATCAACACTATCTTCCAAAGGAACTAACATGTTGAAGATGTTTCTTAGTCTGTTGGCAGGGGGTCTATGCACCAACTTGCGCAGTTTGTTGCGGAAGCCTACTGCCTCCAACATCGCTTGCACCGAACCTGAGCAGCACAAGATAGCCCATTATTGTTCTTCAAGCAGTAGAAGAATGTGCAGAAGGACCCTCAAGCTGGCACAGAGCTTGCAGGATGTGTGCTGCTCCATGCGGCCGAGTGCTTGCTCACACAGTTTGCATGTTGGCGGTTCTAGCCTTGAGAGGAGCAGAGTTTGATGTTTTGGCTATATATACTTTTTAAGCATGGTGACACACTCCTAGCAGTTCATGATGAAACACCACATCGTTTCTGCGACTTGCTTTGCGCGTCGATTGGGTCACACAAGGTAAGGGGCTTCGCAGCCCGGCGAGATTGCCAGCTATGCAGGTGGAATCGAGTGAATGAAACCTCTTGTGCTGCTTGATTGACAAATATCTTGCAACGAACTTTTGGAAGTGTTTAAGTGTTGAGACGGGTTGCTTTGCTTGGAGGCACCACCAATTTCAGTCAAACAGGTGCTGCACATTTAATTCGATGTTGGCTCAATTTAAGTCAGCTGATAGGTTGCCACTTAGATCCCTGACCTTTGCATCAATTTGGTTGTCCTTCGAGGAAACTTTGCTTGAAGAGCCTGATCTCCCACTGGCAAAAGGAAGTTTGAACTGGTAACAACTTGTTTGTGAAAAGACTTACATTCTGTCGATTGATGCATTGCACTTTCATGATGTGAATATTGTTCACACTGCTCAAGGCATACGTTTTTTTCAAGCACATTCTTAAACTTGCACGTTTATACACATTTACATATGTATATATGTATCAAAGCCCTTTCTAGCAGCAAAGTAGGCATCAGAAGACACAGAGCATGTAGCATTACAGCCAGCGTGGCCAATGTGTAATGTTCACACGAAAGGTTTTTGCTCGCCTTTTCAGCCAAAGGGTTGGAGGACGCTGTGACTACGCTTGAACTGTTTGGGTCAATGGCCTGGTTTGACGTTTGAACTTGACATAGTGAATTGACAGAGGACAGTCACGGTCGTACAGAGGATTGAACCACCTACTCTGAGGTTGTGATGGCAGAGACCGACAAGGAAGCAAGATGTGAAGTCGGTGTACTTTCCACTTGATTTTCTGCGGATGTGACTTTCGATTTGGAAAGTCTCGCCAGTCTTTATCAGGCCACAGCTAGAGAGCTGCAAAGAATACGGCGTCTGCCAAAGAACCGGGTGCACAAGTCTTGAAATTGATCCAGCCACAAAACTCCAGGTGTTCTGCCAATGTTTCCAGGTATGCCCCAACTGCCTGAAAGAGGAAAGCTTGGGCTTTGGTGCGGTTTGCACAACGTTCAAAACGTGCCCTACCAAGTCTTCTTTGAGATTGTACTTCCAATTTCCAAGATTCTACGCGTAACTGAAGAGGGTGAACGAACACGAAATTAACAAGCTGAAGAGAAAAAAGACATGTTTGCTTTTGCCAGGTTCATTTGCCACGACTGCAAGTCTGCGCACCAAAGCTTTTCTCACCGTTGCAAAAGCGTTCAGATGAGTGTTTGGACCATGGAGGAGGTAAAGGCTTGGTTGCTCCACGAGAAGAGATGATGACGAGAAGAAGAGAAGAGAAGATGACGGGTTTTGATTACTCATAGAGTCTTCTTGTGGTTGCTGTTTTGCTGAAATAGAGTCTCGTGGCATTCACTGGGTGTTGCATCCACACCATAGAGGCAAGTGAAACTGACAAATGATATCGGCGCACACTGCATCAAGTGTCCTGAGACGACTTGAAATGTTGTGAAAATCACTTCTGAAACTCCCTGCGAGTCGCTTGATGAGAGTAATGGCGGTGGCAATGCTGCTGCAGAGCGCCATTTTCTCTCGCGGCTGACAGAAAAGGAGCGTGTGAAGCAGGCCGGAAGTGATGCTATGAGATGTCATGAAGCGCAATCCTGGACAGGATGGATAAACATTTTTCTGCACGGGACTAGACCCTCTGACAGATTACTTCAACTAGCACAGATGGTTCTTGTGCGGCCTCAGGGCAGTTCTCCTGATGCCTACAAGCGTTTCATAGAGTCAGCACCTTAGATTGCTCAAAGCAATTCTCTAGGTCTTTTCTTTAATGGCTAAAACTGACTTGAGGCGGGCCTACATAAAGCTGCGATGGGCAGAAGCTGAGGTCACTGAGGGGGACACCCAGGCACCATCGGATACTGGAGCAATTTGGGTCAGGATATACACTTTCCAAGTGCAGGCC